GGAAAGGATAACTTTTCTTTTATGTAGGATTTTTCTGGTTGGTTTTAGCAGGAGGAAAATTCTCACACACTTCTACACCTACCTAGAAACGGGGCTCACCCGCTGATCAGCCAATTTCCTTTGTTATCGTCTGACCCTTCCTCTCTTCAGGAGTACACGTACAATTTTCCAGATGTCAGGGAGTTGTTGTTATTACCGATCTGCAGTTTTATCGCACTGGTCTTTACATAGCCGTCCTCTGTATTTGTGGCCATCTTACGACTAATGGTCGATTCTGGTCAATTTCAGTAAATGCACAGGCACACTGAATAAAAGTGCATGTTCTCTAATATTCTCTAGTTTTATACACTCTTGAGGTACATGTACATCTCCTAATTGTAAAATTTGACTGGAATTTTATCAAATTTTGGAAACCATTCCATGTGTACTTGGAAGGATGTATAGTCTAAGATTTAATTTTATTTTCCTTATTGTGGTCCCCTGCACCTGCTTCCCTGCGTCATGCAAACATTCTATTTTTATAACTTTCTGACTACTTTTAACTTCCCCAGACATTTTTTGAGCCAAACTGTGATGAAAGAAAGTTACAAATAAGCTAATGAGTGACTCTAAAGTGACTCTGTATATATAAAGTAACTATATAGTAACTATAGTTACTATAAAGTAACGAGTGACTCTAGATCTATAAAGGGAAGGAAGAATGGTAGTTGTTGGAATATTAGGTTAACATGACAACTTATCTTAAAATTAATATGATTAGTCATGCTCTCCAAGCCACATACTCTGACAATAGCAGGTAAATAGATAAAAACTGCCTTGATTTGGGACGCCTGGGTGGCTCAGTTGGTTAAGCAGCTGCCTTCAGCTCAGGTCATGATCCCAGTGTCCTGGGATCGAGTCCCACATCGGGCTCCTTGCTCGTCGGGGAGCCTGCTTCTCCCTCTGCCTCTGCCTGCCATTCTGTCTGCCTGTGCTCGCTCTCTCTTCCTCTCTCTCTCTGACAAATAAATAAATAAAATCTTTAAAAAAAAAAAAAAAAACTGCCTTGATTTATATTAACTAAAATACGTTTACATTCATAGTTGTTGAGATAAGTTCATTTTCTCCTATGTCATACACAGGATCAAATTTTAATTTCCTTATTAAAGAGAAAAAAGCAATATAACTATACAAATGGTAAAGATAACACTAAGTTTCATTTTGTGCTATTTGTATGTGGAAGTACGCACTGATATTAAATAGTAGTACTATTCATACAGGTTTTTCAGAAATAAGCAATTTTGTAAGTGGGAAGGGGGATGACTTATGATTAAAATGAAAGGAAAAAGAAACTTAACAGAAGAAAGAAGGCAAAACATTAGGTCAAAATAGGTTTCAAAACACAGCTTTGAAAGGGGACAGACATTTTTGTTCCCTGTGCTGTGGGTTATCTCTGTTTCTTATCAATCAATATCCTTTAAATATGCAAAAGGTACATAATCTCAAAGGAAAATATCCTCTGTATTTTGTAGTCTGTACAGACTACGTGTTCTAAGTACAGACTACTTCATACAAAGAAACAAATCTAGGACATCCTTGGTCATTTCTCGACCACGGTCATTCTAGCGTAAAGACTTTGTAAGAAGATGCCTGGGTGTTTCCGTGGGTTAAGCAACTGCCTCCAGGTCAGGTCATGGTCTCAGGGTCCTGGGATCGAGTCCCGCATCAGGCTCCCTGCTCAGCGGGGAGTCTGCTTCTCCCTCTGCGGCTCCTCCTACTTGCATGCTCTCTCTCTCTCTGTTAAATAACATAAATAAAACCTTTAAAAAATTCCAAAGAATTTAATAAATCAAAGTAGTCCAGTGATAGTTTTTTTCAAAGCCCTACTTCAGTATCAATGGAGTAATAAAAGGTACTGATTAATAAAGATCTTACACTTTTTTTGAAATTAAATACTGCTTATTTAATTTAGGGAAGCTCTTTCATCTGAGCTGTCCAAAGACCTACTAACTCTATGGAAGGTCCTCATACTCGGTGGCTTAACACCGTCTGCACTCTTACCAATGCGGTATAGGAGGTAAAGGAATCCTTTCTCCCTGGAAGCACAGGAGGTAACTCTGTATACATTTCAAATGAGATAATTAATAAACTGTGTTACTTTTAAAGTTGCCCATATTACAACGGGGCACACAGGGCTGTTTCACACTGCAGCTGTTTTCCAGAGCTCTGTAATCGGTGAATATTGTCAGAGCTGCGGCACGGAGCAGGAGGCCTCCCGAAGACTTGGTATCGGGGGAAGCCCACCTTGCTGGACCCACTGAGAGAGCTCCTGGGTCTGCTCAGCTGTGGACAGCTGGGCACAGGCATCTTCCAAGTGTCATTCACAATCACATGATCAAAACACTAGCCAAACCGTGTCTCCGTTTGTTGAGCTAATCCTTCACGTTTTGGAGATCTTCACCCTTGAACTTCAAGTCCACGAAGTAGCCTGCGATGGTCTTGGCATTTTTCCCAAGATGGCTACAACTCGTGTTCAACGGCTTTATAACTAGGATGCAGGGCTCAGTTTGTGGGTTCGAGTTACCTGAACACCTTGTGGCTCTATGTCCCTGACACATATCGTTCCTTCCTGGTGGACTGTTTGAGCAGCACCCACAAGGCTGACCCACGGGTGGCCTCCGTACTCACCACAAGGGAGCATCCTGTGACCAGACACGAGCGCTTCTGGTGTTTCCTTTGACACACAGTGATCCTTATGTCCGCTGCACTTGATGACTCTTTTTAGAACATGTAGTATGTGGCGCAGGACTTTGGAAATGGTTTGGATTAAGTTCCATGAATTATCTTCTCAGTTCATTTACTCCAACACCAGAAGGTCTCACAGGTGCCATGAAGCAATGCTCGTCTGAAGGGTGCCGCGGTATTGGACCCCTGCTCGTGTGGGGAGCCCAGCGTGCTGCGGCAGCCGCTGACCCGCACACCCCAGCGCACAGCTCAAGACCTCGCTTCCCAGCAGCTCACTGCACTATATCTACCACTTGGCTGGCAGTAGTTTTAAGACCGCCTCGAAAACAACCAACAAAAAAGATATCCCAAGACCTTTTTCCTCCAAACGGGTCTATGGCTTTAAAGCAATCTTAGTCAAAACTCCTAAGATGTTTTGCATAAACCAACTGATTCTCCATTTTATATAGATATGCAAAGAAATTAGAATAATTAAACAATTTTGAAAAGGAAGAACAAAGTTTTTGGCCTTGGAGGCCTTACAGTGGCTGATTTTAGGACTCACTATAAAGGGTCAGTCATCAAAACCATGGTACTGGAGGAAAGAGAGGAAAGATCAATGGAACAGAACAGAGTCTAGGAACAGACTCACACTTGTACTGAGAGTTCATGTTCAACACAGTTACCTGGGTGTCAATGGAGAAAAGATGGCCCTTTCAAGAAATGGTGTTGAAGCAGGTGGATTGACATTGGCAAAAACAAATTTGATGCTTACCTCACACCATATACAAAAAGTAACTCAAAATGGATCTTGGGCCTAAAAGTAAAGTCCTTAGACAGGACACAGAAAGCAAAATAAAAAAATAGAGAACTTCATCAAAATTAAACACTTTGACTCTTCCTAAAACAATACTAAGGAAATTAAAAGGTAAGCCACAGATTGGGAGAAAATATTTGCAAACTATATATATGATAAAGAACTTGTATCCAAAATATGTAAAGAACTCTGAGAACTCAACGAGAAGATACTGCAGAAATCTGTCAGTGAGTACCCTCCTTAAATTTCATGCCATGTACCTTATTTGCCTTACCCCAGTCCTGGCCCTTACAGACAAAAATCTGCTTTTGTAACCTTATATATTTGGAATTATCTGATTGGATATTAAAAAAACAAATCAAGTTATTTTAATGAAGAAAAAGAATAAAATGACAATCCAGTGTTTAAGATAGATGAAAAATTAGAATTGACGCATCGCAAGGAGGGCATACGAAAGGCAAAGAAGTCCAGGAAGAGACACTTCACATCCGCAGCTATTACGGACTTACAAACCACACCACGGCTACACGTGACACCGCGGCACATGTGACGGGGCGGGTAGAACCGAAGAGGCTGACAACAGCAGGTTTGGGTGAGGGTACCACGCACCTGAAGCTCTCCACAGCCGCTGATGGGAGTGCACGATGGTGCGGCCACTTGGAAAAGAGTTTCGAAGTGGCTCAGCAATCACACTTTTCGCCATTTACCCCAGAAAACAAGCTCACACAGATTCCTGTACGCAAAGGCTTATGGCAATTTTATACATAATATTCTAAAACTAGAAGCCACCTAAATGTCTATCAATCCATGAATGAGTAAACAAATTGTGGTTCACTCTATACAATGGGGTACCACTCAGGAGAAAAAAAACCCAGAAACAAACTAAGCACCTAAGAAATGTGTTAGGCTGGGTGTAAAGACTCCGGTGAAAGTTCACCGGAGGAACCAGAATGGACACCTGTGGACAGAGTGGGCTGTACCACTGGGGGGCCCGAAGTCCTGTTTGTGGAACACGGAGCCTTACTTCACTCATCATTTGGGACGAAGAAAAAAGGAGCCAGACGCCAGAGGAAAAGAGTTGAGCCAGTACCCTTATGGACCTCAAAACTAGAGTGGACTGGGAAGATCTCTCCATTTGTGGAATAAACTCTAAGAAAAGTGGCTGAGGTTAACTTCACAACTTCCTTTCAGAAAGAAAACAACAAATCCTCACTTGAATTATCTCTGCTTTGATTACCGGTTTAATTTCCTGTTCTCCTCTGCCACTGCCACTGGTGTCCTTCCCTGTGCTCAGCTTAAATATTTTCTGGGTACCAAGCAACACATTGCCTGTCTCTTCCCTACAGTCAAGGGCAGGAGGGTGTCACCTGTGGCGGACGGTCTCACAGGTCTCCTTCTGTAGGGAAAACCATCACACAGGCTCTGTCCCCTGAAAGGAGGGTCCCATGCAGGTTCTGGCCCCTGCAGGGCTGGTACTCACACAGGCTTCCTGCTGCAGGTGCTGTAGGGCCCTCTTGGCTGGGATGAGGAATTCAGTGAGGCAGCGCAGCCCATCCCCACCGTGGAGTCTCTCTGCCACGCTGAACAGCTGCCAGAGAACCGTGGCTGCCGTGGCCTCAAAAGGTGGGTAGAGGGCAGACAGTGTGTTCTGGATATAGGTGTCAAGGGATTCCAGATCCTGAAATGCAAGAGAGGACCAGGTACTTTAAGACATTGATGAAGACGGGTGTGGAGGACACTTCCCCCAGGCTGGCTATGGAAGCCTCCCCTTTTCGGGCTCTGTCTTCTATCTGGATATTTGAGCAGTCTTTGTGGGATTGGAAGGTACCAGCAAACCCACAGCATAGTGGGGGTTCCTCTTGGAGCTCCTGGTCCTTCCATCGTCGCACAGCAGCAGCGTACTGTGGGTCTGCCCCCAGGCCCATGAGGGGAACCCTACATAACACTCTGTCAGCGGGGGCGCTGCTGCTGTCACAGGAGGCACAATCAAGTTCCACCCCATCAGATTCTGAAATGTGCACCTGAAATGCTGTATTTTAGGGTTATCTGTGGAGCATGTGGGATTTCTCAGGGGGGCACTCCTGGGTCTGCAGGGAATAGGGGAGGCCCCCATGCCAAGGACAGAGCTGGTCCACATGTAACTTAATAAGAAAACGTCATCCACAGCAAAGACATTTTGACTGTATTGATAACTTTTTAAAAATTTAGACAAAAACAATTAGGGCATCCTTTATCAAAACCACAGAATTGTACCCATTTGGTCATTCTGAAAACAGTATCCTTGGTACCTGATTTGCTCTTCATGTTTTCATGCAACAAAATTTTATGTAAAGACAGAATGCTTTTAGTATAAAAGATGTTTAATGCTATTTTTAGATGTAACATTTCCTGAGGAAATACCACAGGGTTCATTTGTTTAGGGAAAAAAAACCCTGCAAGGCTACAATAACAGTTAAAAGTCAAAGAGGTTAAAATTGTGAAATCGATTTTTAAAGGGACAACGGTTACATCTGAGACTCCTCTGAACAGCTCAGGGTACAGATAATTTTCTAAAGAGACTGAAAACAAGCCAGCGAATCCCCCGGGCCTGAGGTGGGTAAGGCCTCCAGCCATCCGTCCTGCGGGCGCTGCGCTGAGCCTCCCCGTGGGCGCTCCCGCGGCGCTGTCAGTGCGGTGAGGCGTTGGTCAGACCCCGCTCTGGAGCTCCCACGCCCACGAGGGCTTCCCCACGTCGGTCTGCTCCCCTCCCTCCATACGCCTGGGTCTGCCCACCAGACAGAGCCGCTCACTCATCAGGAATGATCTAAATACCGATTTTGTCTAGAAAGTGCCACGGTGCTCTGATGTGTAAGACTCAAATGCCACCCGAGCCAGCAGCGGACGTCCAGCCCCGGAGAAGAGCGGTGGTCTTGAGCCAGGGGAGGGTCTGGAGCAAGCACTTAGTTGTGACACAAGGGACCGGCAGACCTGAAAGGGCATGTCTTTAATGCCCGTTTCAGAGGAAGTGAAAAGCAAACTGTGGGTCCCCCCAGGGAGAGATGCCCTCCTGCTGCGCAGACACCCCCAGTCCGGACGGACCCCTCCTCGGGACCCACACGAGGGTCCTGATTCTCGCGTCCAGCTTGGCCAGCGGCCTCCCGGCAGGTCTCCGGGCCTCCACCTCACCCGTTCGCCTTCTAAAAACTGCCCAGTGAGATCACTGGAATCTTCCCTGGCCCCTTGTCTGCCCTCCGATTCCTACTGTGACTGACGGAGGCTCCGACGCTTGGCCGGGCGCCCCCGCACCAGCTCCTACTCCCTGGGCTCCGTCCCCAGATCCCGGGCCGGGCACGAGACGTCCAAGGGGCGCTGTCTGCGCGCCCAGGGGCAGCCTCCCAGGTCAGGGAAGTGAGGAAGCCTTGGGCAAGCCGGAGGGACGTGCTCTCTAGCCTCTTCCACAGTGACGTTCCCTTAGGCACCGTCTGCACAGCCCCTCCCGCCGGTCCCCTGCTTCTCCGGGCACTGTGCGACCGGGCGCCGCAGAGCAGAACCGTCACTCCGGGCTGCTGCCGCGCGAGCTCCCCAGCCACTCCGCACATGGCGCCGCGCTCACTCTGGGGAAGAGGGTCCGGCGGACAGCAGACGGTGCCCAGGGCCGGGCACGGCTTGAAGGGCCACCTCAGGCTCGGCGCTGCGGCAGATGCATGGTACAGGCCAACCGTTGCCACTCGCACAACTCGAACAGTTCGGTCTTTCAAAGAGACACAAATTACAAGAGGGGGAGGCGGATGTGTATGGTTCTGAGCGCGGAGAGGCAGAATTACCCCACTGCGACAAAATCAAGTTACCTGAATATATTCAATTCAGCTTAAGAGATAAGAATATAGTGTATTTCAGAAAGATTTGCATAAGAAATGCTTAAAAAGAGAACATTATCTTGGTATCTTAAAGGGTAAAGTTCGATCATCTTGAATGTTTACTCTGTGTAACATTTTCTTCCCTGACGTTTCCTGGGATGATTGTGTACGTGTTACAGCTTGTGCGTGTGAAGAAAAAGGTGTGTGCAGAGCAGGGTGTGTGTGCGAGGGAAAGTATGCATGTGAGGGAAAGAGTGTGTGAGAGAGAAAGTGGGAGAGAAAGTGGGAGGGAAAGTGTGTGTGAGAGAGCAAGCGTGTGTGTGAGGGAAAGTGTGCATATGTGAGAAAGTGTATGTGAGGAAAAGTGTGTGTCAGGGAGAGCATGAGCCAGGGAAAGTATGTGTGTGACACAAAGTGTGTGTGAGAAAGTGTGTGTGAGGGAAAGGGTCGTGTGAAGAACAGTATGGATGTGAGGGAAAAAGGATGTTGAATGCCAGTGTGTGAAGGCGTCCAAAGGTGTGTGCTGGGGGCAGGTTGGTGGTGAGCCAAGAGAAGTACTTTAAATTACTCAAAACAGTTCCTTGGCCTCTGGTTGCCCAGGAGGAGAAGGGAGTGGCCGCAGGGTGAGCGAGAACGTCCGTGTGGGCACCCCGGCCCGCTCTGCCGGGCCTGCCCTCCGGAAGGTGTGACGCGCACATCAGGACGCGCGGAGCTGAGAGGGAAGAGAGCAAAGGCAGATGCCATCACTTCGTCAACGGTTAAGGCCTGAGTTCTTCTCCTCACGTGATTCAGGGCTCTCGTTTCAACCGAAGGCACTCATGCTCAGCTTGGGCTGACGTCGGAACCGGAACCCTCGCCTATCTGCTGGGCCCTGACTCTTCCCGTGGCTTGGAACGCGGTTCCCTGCAGACGTACCTCAGCGGACGGGAGACGCGGTCCCGTGCGGAGCACTAGTCCCCGTGCCGCTGAGCTGAGTCAGCGCGTCGCCATTCAGCCAGCTGCAACACTGGTGTCCCTCCTGGCGCCCACAGGAGCTGACCTGGCCTCCGCGCAGGCCCTACCGGTAGCCCGCCCGGCCTCACACACGCTGGAGGTGAGAAGACAGAGGCTAGGGGTCCACAGGCCCTTCTGTGCCCATCCTGTGGGGGGCCGGCCTCAGGGACAAAGACAACCGAATGCTTGTTTCTAAAACGCACATCAGCTGGAAACGGCCTGCTCCTTCCTCCCGGGGGACAGGTGACATGTGACACGTCAGAGCAAGGGTGACTTCTAGTTTCAAGGAAGGAGAAGAGTAGCTGATGCCGACAAGGGAACAGCAGGGGCCCCGTCCTGGGCCCAGCAGACTGGAGGGGCTGGGCCACAGGAGGCCTGGCGAAGACCGACCATCAACGCTCACTCACATTTTCCCTCAAGTACAACATCCCAAAAGATGGTGGGAGGCAGAGCCACAGAACGGTTGGGGCGACTGCTGGCAGGGTGGGTGGGCCTGGATATCAGGGTCCTTCTACCTGCCTGGAAGGTGTGCAAGGTACTACCCTGCTTCCTGGGGGGGGCACCCCAAGATGAGACCCTGCGAGATAGTGAGATCCCCGAGCAGGCTGTGCACAGACGGGACTCCGAGACCCTCGCCCCATCCTCGCTGCACAGCTGTGAGCTGGTGGCTGGCCCCCTCCTGTTCCAGCAGGGACGGAGACTGCAGGAACATCGAAGGCTTCAGCACAGCCATGCCAGAGACAGCCTCCCTGTGATTACTCCCAATGACCCAAGGGGCCCACGGCACAATCCTGTGGGTGACCCCTCTCCATCTGGGCCCCTGCACCCTGGGGACGGGGGGTCATGTGTCAGAGGATGAGACTGCAGAGTCCTGGGATGAGGCCTCAGTTGGGGTAGAAGACTGAGCAGCTGTGGTTAGATAGCACCGTCCTCTCTGCCCACCCCTGGCCAGACCGGGAGCTTCTCTGGGACCCAGTCACATCATCTCATTCAGAAGACTGACGGGTCACTGATGCCGTTGCAGAGGACAAGGGCTCGGACATCACCTGGGAGGCAAAGCTCGGGTGGGTGGGTGGGGGCTGTGGTCCTCAAGACCCCTCATCTCGTCTAGGACCTCCTCTCATCCTACAGCCCCAGGACCAGCTCCCAGCGATGCCCCAGACGCGGCAGCCAGGGTGGGACCCCACAGAGGAGGGGACGCAGGGGTGCCCCCCACCCAGAATGTCAGGGTGGCCTTCATACTCACCACTGTGGCCTTTACCATATTTTATAAACAAAAGTCAGGATGCACAATGGGCAGTGGGCACCCAGTGTGGGACACTGGAGCTGTTCCTACAGCCCCTCCAAACTGAGGCCCCGGGACAGGAAGGGCACCCATGTCAGGCCTATCCCTGCCCCACTTTCCATCAATAGCTACTTTCTCAGCCTTGTGGGGGCGGGGTGTGAAACCCACACTTCCCAGGAGGTTTGCTCTCAGCAGCGACCTGGTTACAGTCACTCAGTCCCTGTTAATCGGGGCCTCCTTCCTGCAGGTGCCGATGGCTATCTCCCGTTTCCTGTGTGCACAGACCCAGGAACCACCTTTCAATCAGAGAAATCCCATCCAGAAAGCCTAAGCCTCTGCTGAGCCGCTATGCCCACCGGCCTGCGCCCAGCCCGTCTCACCTGGTCTGCACGTACCTCCATACGGTCAGCACCTCCAGCTAACCTCTGCCTGGCCCTGCGGGGGACCCTGGCCAGCCCCTGTGGGCTGTTCCTGGGCCCAGGTGGCTACTTCCGCCCCCGGAGGGCTGGGGCTTCTCTCCTGGACCAGCGCTCCCCAGGCTCTGAGCCCCGGGCCATTGCAGCT